TATTAATTACCTGAATAAATCTATAACACAAAATGAAATTGAAGCAGCAATCAAGAGTCTCCCCCAAAAGAAAAGTTGAGGACCTGATGGATTCTCTGCTGAATTCTATCAGACCTTTAAAGAAGAACTGATACCAACCCTCCTTAAACTGTTCCATGAGATAGAAAGGGAAGGAAAACTGCCAAACACATTTTATGAAGCCAGTATTACACTTATCTCAAAACCAGGCAAAGACACCTCCAAAAAGGAGAACTATAGGCCAATCTCCTTCAGGAACATTGATGCAAAAATCCTCAACAAAATAATGGCAAACTGAATTCAACAACACATCAAAAAGATTATTCACCACGACCAAGTAGACTTCATCCCAGGAATGCAGGGGTGGTTCAACATACGAAAATCAATAAATGTAATAAACCACATTAACAGAAGCAAAGACAAAAACCACTTGATCATCTCAATAGATGCAGAAAAAGCCTTTGATAAGATCCAACACCATTTCATGATAAAAGCTCTAAGAAAACTAGGAATAGAAGGAAAGTACCTCAACATTATAAAAGCTATATATGACAAACCTACAGCCAGCATTATACTTAATGGAGAAAAACTGAAACCATTCCCTCTAAAATCAGGAACCAGACAAGGATGCCCACTATCTCCACTCCTATTCAACATAGTACTGGAATTCCTAGCCAGAGCAATTAGGCAAGAAGAAGGAATAAAAGGAATACAAATAGGTAAAGAAACTGTCAAAATATCCCTATTTGCAGATGACATGATCCTATACCTTAAAGACCCAAAAAACTCTACTCAGAAGCTCTAGACATCATCAATAGCTATAGCAAGGTAGCAGGATATAAAATCAACATAGAAAAATCATTAGCATTTCTATACACTAATAATGAACAAACTGAGAAAGAATATATGAAAACAATTCCATTTACAATAGCCTCAAAAAAATCAAATACCTAGGTATAACCTAACAAAGGATGTGAAAGACCTCTACAACGAAAACTACACACTTCTGAAGAAAGAGATTGAGGAAGACTATAGAAAGTGGAGAGATCTCCCATGCTCATGGATTGGTAGAATCAACATAGTAAAAATGTCGATACTCCCAAAAGTAATCTACATGTTTAATGCAATTCCCATCAAAATTCCAATGACATTCATTAAAGACATTGAAAAATCTACCAGTAAATTTATATGGAAACACAAGAGGCCACAAGTAGCCAAGGCAATACTCAGTCAAATGAACAACACTGGAGGTATCACAATACCCGACTTCAAACTATATTACAAAGCAATAACAATAAAAACAGCATGGTACTGGCACAAAAACAGACATGAAGACCAGTGGAACAGAATAGAGGACCCAGATATGAAGCCACACAACTATAACCAACTTGTCTTTGACAAAGGAGCTAAAAATATATGGTGGAGAAAAGACAGCCTCTTCAACAAAAACTGCTGGGATAACTGGTTAGCAGTCTGCAAAAAACTGAAACTAGATCCATGTATATCATCCTGTACCAATATTAACTCAAAATGGATCAAGGATCTTAATATCAGACACAAACTCTAAAGTTGATACAGGAAAGAGTAGGAAATACTCTGGAATTAGTAGGTATAGGTAAGAACTTTCTCAATGGAACCCCAGCAGCAAGCATAGATAAATGGGACCTTCATAAAACTAAAAAGCTTCTGCTCACAAAAGAAATGGTCTCTAAACTGAAGAGAACACCCACAGAGTGGGAGAAAATATTTGCCAGCTACATCAGAAGGACTGATAACCAGAATATATAGGGAACTTAAAAAACTAAATTCTCCCAAAACTAATGAACCAATAAAGAAATGGGCAAGTGAACTAAACAGAACTTTCTCAAAAGAAGAAATTCAAATGGCCAAAAAACACATGAAAAAATGCTCACCATCTCTAGCAATAAAGGAAATGCAAATTAAAACCACACTAAGATTCCACCTCACCCCTGTTAGAATAGCCATCATCAGCAACACCACCAACAGGTGTTGGCGAGGATGCGGGGAAAAAGGAACCCTCTTACACTGTTGGTGGGAATGTAACTAGTACAACCACTCTGGAAAAAAATTTGGAGGCTACTTAAAAAGCTAAACATTGATCTACCATTTGATCCAGCAATACCACTCTTGGGGATATACCCAAAAGACTGTGACACAGGTTACTCCAGAGGCACCTGCACACCCATGTTTATTGCGCACTATTCACAATAGCCAAGTTATGGAAACAGCCAAGATGCCCCACACTGACGAATGGATTAAGAAAATGTGGTATCTATACACAATGGAATTTTATGCAGCCATGAAGAAGAACGAAATGTTATCATTCGCTGGTAAATGGATGGAATTGGAGAACATCATTCTGAGTGAGGTTAGCCTGGCCCAAAAGACCAAAAATCTATGTTCTCCCTCATATGTGGACATTAGATCAAGGGCAAACACAACAAGGGATTGGACTTTGATCACATGATAAAAGCGAGAGCACACAAGGGAGGGTGAGGATAGGTAAGACACCTAAAAAACTAGCTAGCATTTGTTGCCCTCAACGCAGAGAAACTAAAGCAGATACCTTAAAGCAACTGAGGCCAATAGGAAAAGGGGACCAGGAACTAGAGAAAAGGTTAGATCAAAAGAATTAACCTAGAAGGTAACACACATGCACAGGAAATCAATGTGAGTCAATCCCTGTATAGCTATCCTTATCTCAACCAGCAAAAACCCTTGTTCCTTCCTATTATTGCTTATACTCTCTCTACAACAAAATTAGAGATAAGGGCAAAATAGTTTCTGCTGGGTATCGAGGGGGTTGGGGGAAGAGGGTGGGGATGGAGTGGGTGGTAAGGGAACGGGTGGGGGCAGGGGGAGAAATGACCCAAGCATTGTATGCACATATGAATAATAAAAAAATAAATTAAAAAAAATTACAAATTACCAAACCTCTGTCCACGATTTCTGGTTGCATTGATCTACTGTATGGTCTATTAATTTGCAGTGTTTTAGTAGTCACCCTAAGTGATTCTGATGTATGTTATCATAAGGCAATGTTTTATGAACCACCTTTGTACTAAAATGTAGTCACCTTTTCTCAGAGGAATATTGTATCTGTCTTACCAACCCCTGACCTAGAATATGCAGTTGAGTTCTTCTTATCAATATATGTGTGAGAAAACTAATCAAAGTAAAGAAGAGAATCACTTGCAAGAATTCGAGGTACTGGGAATAATGCAGATCCCTGGAGGCTATGCCAGATTCACAGGGTGAATATGAATTGGGGTGTAGTATATCTAGACGATATTGCCTTGATAGTGAGTAAAAATTAGCCCTAGACTGGGAACCACTCCTGTCCCATCTAACAAAACCAAGACCTGAAAATATCAGTTTTTAATAATTTGTCTTCCACAGCAAAGCCCAGGAATATTTATAAGAATACAAACACAGGAAGGGCACAGTTGCTCACACCTGTAATTCTTGCTACGCAGGAGACAGAGATCAGGAAGATCAGACTTTGAGGTCAGTCAGGATGAAAAGTTCACAGATCCCATCTCAACCAATCACTGGGCATGGTGGTGCATACCTATCATCCCACCTTACACAGGGAAGCACAAATAGGAGGATCGCCTGGCCCAGGCATAAAGTGAAACCCCATCTCAAAAATAACTAACATGAAAAGGGCTGGTAGAGTGGCTCAAGTGGTACAGTGCCTGCCTAAGAATCATAAAGCCCTAAATTCAATCCCTAGTATTGTCCAAAAAAACACTATAAACTCACAGATCCAAGACATTTAATAAGCACCAAGCATAAGAAGCATGAAATAAGACACCAAGGTATGTCATAGTCAAATGTCTCAACTGAGTGAAAAAAAGCATCCAAAGAAAAAGATACATTCTATGCAAATGAGCATGGCAGTAGATTTCTCATCAGAAACAAGTCAAGCAAGAAGACAGTGGAATAGCATTTTAAAAATACTAAGAAAAGGCAAAATGCATTCTTCCAAGTTACTTTCCGAATTTATTTTAGGAAATCCAGACACAAAACATGTCTGACAATAAGTTCTGAAAATGAAAGGTTTGGGGTGAAAAACTAGTTACTGCACCTCTGATAAAATTACATTTATTTATGCTATATGAAATAAATGACTATATATAGTTGTATAGCATGCATGCATTATTATCCCTACAGATGAAAAGTAGTTTTATACAATTTTATATAAACTGAGTAATCCAAACATAAAATCAGAGCAACTTATTTTCAAATGACCAAGGTTTCTACTCCAATTTAATATAAAACTCTTCCTGGATTTGGACATGCCCAGATATTGTGTAAGTACAGTGACTACAAGATGCACATACCACTACATTTAATAAACTGAGCAGTTTTCTCCAATCCTTTTACTCTCTCTCCAATATTCATCCATTCTCTATCTTCCTCTCCCTACCATCACCCTACCATCACCCCACCATTCCTCCATCCCAACACTCACCAAAACAGCTTCTTGAGCAGACTAAAAGAATTACCATTTCTTAGGCACAAGATACGTGCATGTGGTAGAGATATAACTAAGGATTAGCATAGTACTTCACTTAAATGTAGTTGAGGACAGGAGGTGTGGCTCAAGTGGAAGAGCACCTGGTTTGTGAGTGTGAAACCCTGAGTTCAAACCCTAATCCCAACAAAAAAAAAAGGACATAGTTGATCAGGCAAAGTTAACAGAAGACTCATAGCTAATGTAGGAAGATGTAAGACAGAGCAACTGTAGCAGGAGAAATAATACATCCTAGAAAAAGCTGAGAGCAAGATGTAGAAATGTAATATGAAAGGGTAAAATTATTCACAATTTATAAGCTTCAGTCTACTATTGCCCCAGTAATACCAAATAGAACAATACAAAATGTAATTAGATCTCAAGTAAATCCTAATTCAAACAAATAAAGAAGGGTGGGAAAGTTAAAAACAAATTATTGTACCTTATAATTTAGTTTTGGTGCATCGTAGAAATCAGCAGAGTGTGATAACTGTTTGCCTATGGTAATATTTGCATAGCTAAAGAAGGGAAATAAGTAATGGTGACTTTGGGGTTCAGAAGTTTACACTTTATTTCTAAAATTCAATACAAATGGTACAATGGTATTAAAAATATCTTACCCATATCCAGTTCCTTTCTTTCCTGGGTTTGTGTACAAATTCTTTCCAGGTGGCTCATATTTGTCCTTGGGTTTCACCTGTACACTGAAGAATGGTACTGGGCCGCCTATTGTTCCATAGTAGCTTCCTAATCCACTCCTAAGTTCAGTTAGTTTTGATTGATAAAAAGGAAGAGGTCAAATATTGAATCTCATGTTATCTATTTTTTTAAAGGATTCAAAAGGAGAAAATCTATAATGACAATTGCTCGCTGACACTGTCAGAAAAGATATCATTTTGTTAGTTTGAATTCTATGATTTTATTTTCCTCATTTTTGAAAGTGATGAATTTTGGGGTATGTTTTTAATTTTTACGTCTGTTGCAATGGTTGCATATGACCATGAGGAAATTAGAATGGTTGCCATTCATTCAGTTAACTACAGCAATAAACAGAACTTTCATGTTTTTAGATGAATTTCTAGTCAATTTAAGGCAAATTAACTAAAAAAATATATATTTAGCTGATTTTTTTCTCACCATACATGCACTGAAAACTACACTTTCAAAACATATATTTAAAAACTATCGTTTCCACTGTCAAAGGCAAAGTGAATCTCATAGAATTGTGATACTAATTTTGGTTTACATTTATTATTTTGCTGTGGAAAAAAATAACTGTGTTCTTTTCTTCAATTTTAAAGTTAGATTTTTCTAGACTTATACTATGTAATCAAACTATTTAATACCCAGAACTATATTTTAACAAATGTCAGGATAATATCAATAGCAGTCATATACTCTAGTTTCCAAGTTACCTTGGAAATTAACAGGGTTTAATAATAAGAATTAGTCTGCATAACATAATATTATTATCAAAAGATGAAACTACACATTTATGCTCAATTTTTCAAAAATTAGAAAGGTACTGACATCGATTTATTTCTCCCAGCCTACAAATAAAGATTTCATTAGGAAAAGCTACTTATTTTCATTAACTCCTGATCATATATCATAAAATACAGTGAATAAATGAAGCAATAATATTGCCAAAAAATTATACACTGACATAAATGAGGTAGAATGTGATTTAATGTAAACATTAAAATTTACTACATATTAATTTGTTAAACATCTGTGGTTGGAGGAGGGTAGATAAAAAGGGGATGGATTTGATCAGTACACACTGTATGCATTGTTAAACTATCACACTGAAACCCATTAATATGTACAATTAACACATGAAAATCAAAAATAAAATATTTTTAAAATAAGCTCTAGCATGGGAAATACATATATTAATAAAATAATCATGAATAGGAAAATGCCTTCGGTTTGCCATAAGTGCCCATAAGAGGGCTTCTTAGTGATACCACCAATCTCTCTTTTAGGAAACACCTTCTGTATCCCACTAAATTACAGATGTTTTTACATATCTACAAACTTGTAAAACAAGGAAAGCTAGTCTAATTACAAAGCTGTTACTAAAAAATAAAATGTGATTATTGGATGACAAATGAATTAAGCATATTAGAAGCTAATGTATTAAGGTAGCCATTTCCAATTATTACCACATGAGTTCAAGGTACATCACAGGTGGGAAAAAGACTGAAAGGTGAGAAAAAGTAAATTAAAAAGGTAAAATACATTTATTACATGGGAAAAAATGAAGTAGTGACAAAAAGAAACAGAAAAAGCATACCCAAGAGTATAGACATGATAAACCAAGACAATTTCCTCCGAGCTCTTGAAACGTTTTTGAACAAATTTGTTTTCATTGTTTAGTTGGCTTTTATTATACAAACTGATAGATAACAATGACAGAGATAATAATATGATATTAAGAATATATTTTAAATTACCTGCCAATCTAAATCACCCAAAATAACTGTCTCCAACTAAAACTAACTTAAGAATCACACTTAAAAATTAATTCCATTTGAAAGTTCCACAAAAAGCAAACATTTACTTTAGTCAAAATGGAGAAAGGTGCAGATCTATTAAAGACATTTCCCCTCACACTTACGACTTTTTCTCTCCACTACTAGGGACGAAGGCTTTGCTTAGATTTTTTTTGGCTTCTTCCATCATAAACCGTCTCCTCACTTGATTCAGATTTATGTAGCCTTCACCTTCAAAAATCCTTACAAACTGGGGGTCAAAATAACCTGCCTGCAGACTTGACATCACTTTGGTTCCCCCAGGTAGCATCTGCCTATTTTTGCTTGCAGCCTCATTAAAGGGTCCTTTAAAAACAAAGAAATCATAATTTTGAAGTCACTAATAATTAAAGGACATGAAAAATAACAAAACTTTCCAAACATGATTTGGTTAAGGTTGAACTCTAAAACACTGTTTCAAAATCTTTGTGTTAAAGCAATATTGACAATAAGACTAAGAGGTTCTCATAAAAACATCTGAATGCTTACGCTAAGGTCATTATTGTACACTCTGAATGTCAGAGCTGGAAGGGAGCTTAGGAATGTCCTTCCTAAGTAATTTGCTCACTTGTGTCTACTGAACAATCTGAACAAGAATGTTCAAAACACTTGCATTCTCAATCATCAAAAACAAGAAACAGCCTAAATGTCTGTCAACAGGATAGATTTTGACATTGTTATATTTACACAACAAAATACTAGTAGCCCAGGAATTTGTTTAAAGGCCAGTTTTATAAATAGTTAGAATTTTTGTGATTTGAATCTAAAAAGGCTTAATTTGGAAAGTCCTTCCAAAATGTGAAAAAAAAATGAAGTGCACATAACCCTTAATTCAAGTGGGTTATTGAAATATGAACTTGTATCACTGATTTATTAACTTAAATTTCTGAAAAGGCAGTACATTTAAAAAGCTTCAAATTCAATAGGATAAACAGCGGTCACTCTGTTCCCCTTCCACAGGCAGTCATATAATTTGGTCTTCCAGAGGATGTTTAGGCATCTCAAGCAAACATTATATATCCTTTTCCATTTTTAATGCTTAGCATGATACCCCATTCTATAACTCGCTTTTTTAACTTAACACTTTATCTTACAAATGTTTCCATATCAGTACATTATTTTTTTTTGTAACACAGATGTCATTAGATATCTGAAAATTTAACTGAGACAGTCAAAGTGTAAAGGAGGCCTTTTTATTATGACTTTTCTAAAACTCCCTGAGTGATTCATTCAGCATCTCATTTTTCAGGAAAGTGATAATGGATAGCCTTCTTGGATGCAAATACAGGTGGCATTGTCTAGTGGAATATCCCATCTAAGAAGAACAAAGAAAGCTAAAAGCAAAATATTTTGGGAGAAACCTACCATGCACCTGTGAAAATTACTTTTGAAGACAATAAATGAGCATCCTGGTCTTAGGAAATTAAATTCTCAACTATTGCAATGTCACCTTTAGGATTCAATGTTTTTAACATACAAACCATTAAAATTGCATTTACATTAAAATTAAATTCAATTTCCACAATGAAAACACTCACTACTCAGCTATAGAGAATACCACATATACTTACGATTATATGGTGGCAAATATTTATCATCCACAGTAATATATTCCATTTCACTGAAGAGGCCAATCCTCTCCATATCTGTTTTCCCTCCTTCTGCAGGCATGGTTGCTTCTGATGGTGGTAACTTCTAAAGTTTTCTGACAGCTACTGCTTTTATAGCAAAATCTTATTTTGCTATATTGAAAAATGCAGAGAAAAGTTTTAGCCAAAAAGTGATTACTGAATTTCAATCCAAATAATCTTCAAACTAAGAGTTTTAGTATACACTATAAAACAACAGTCTCAAACTATTGGAGAAAGAATCTTCTCTGTGGGGCTCCAGAGGACACGAGGATTCCAAAACATCATGTAGCTTTCCTTTGACTCTTTGCAAAGTGATCACAAATTACAAATTACAAAGGAGTGTATGGCATATGTGTATGGCAGGTAACACCTGCCATTACAAAGTGTATGTGTATGGTAATACCTGCTATTTATCTGGTAGAAATGATACAATTACTACCATGTAGAGTAGTATAAAATTAATGTAAATGATATCTTCTTTTTTGATAGAAGTTAAAGGTCAATTTAAAAATTAGAGAGAGAGATAGCTTAGATAAAATGACTTCAACATACCTGCTCTGTCTCTAAAATTGAAAATTATAACTTCGGTTTTCAGAATGCACAACACCTAGAGGTATTGCCCTGCGGTGTGTGAATTTTTTTCAGTTTAAATGAATATAATAACTTTTGCCAGTGGTGAAATTAATTAATAAAGGGGGAGAGAACAACAGTTTAGGCAGATGAAAGCACAAATAATAAAATAAAAAGTCCAGAATGCATTTAGAGGATTTGTTAGAGAGCAGACTGCAAGCATGAGCTTTCTTTTGCAATGATTATTTCAATTGCATTAAACATGCAAGTGTTAACTTAAAAATTTCTTTTGGACAGAACTGGATTTATGCTTGCAAAGCAGGTGCTGCTAAACCCTTGAGCCACCCTCCAGCTCCATTTTTGCACTCCTAGGGCTATTTTGGGAGATTGGCTGGTCTTGATCCAAGATCCTCTGAGTCTCAGCCTCCCAAATTGCTAGGATTACAGGCATGAACCACCGACACCCAGCTAAAATTTAATTTTTAAGACATGTTCAGAAAAGGAGGACCAAAGAAGTAAGAACATATTCCATCTCATCCTAATGTTTTTAAGCTCCAATGACGTCAGTAAAGAACATCACAATTAGTGAACAAACATTGTTTTTGCTTCCCACCAGATCATAATCCAAGGTGAGCACCTTTTACCTGAATTTTGAGCAAGCTGTTTCAATGACTTTCAGCATGCTTACCTACTTGGAACTGTGGCTCACCTGTGTATGAATCATTGCTAATTGGGCAAGTGAAGATTCAGTTTAAAGCTGGAAAACTGTAACCAGCCCATACTGCCTCTTTCTCGGATCAGGTGCACTTGAAAGCTAAACATCAGTCATTCAGGGTGTCTATTTCGTCTTACAGATTATTTCAAAGGTCCAACCTCGATGCCCCATCATCCATAAATCTCCCCTGTGGCGCCTCGAGGCCATATCCTTCCAATGGCCCACAAAGTCCCCTATCAATCGGCCTCAATCCATCACCATGAGAACTTCTGCCCCCCAACCCCCAAAGTTGTTGCTGTTGTTTTTAAACCAAGAGCTCACTACATAGCCCAAGCTGGAGTTAAATTAGATCCTCCTGCCCTCAGCCTCCGTATGCTGGAATGACAGGCGTGGGCCACCTCGCCCCCCTCTCTTCCTCGGTTCTCAGGTCAGGCTCTCAGCCACAGTACCACAACATGCCCACCCTTTTCCCTCGCCCGGATTAGCACTGATCTTTCCAAGTGCTCAGTTTGCTCATCACTTCTTTAATCCCTCAGAGTGGAATGTAACTTCCCTTTAAGCTTCATCATAGCTATCTAACCCGTCATCAATTTCACATTCGAAGATGCAGGAATCCTTCCACTGCTTTCCCCCACTGAACTGTGGGCTCCAACAAAGACAGGAACCGTGATACGAATTTGATTCCTTTTCACCACTTTCTTCGGGACAGGGGCCTCACTCTGCTGCCCAGGCTGGATTCGAACTCCTGGGCTGGAGCCGGGACAACAGGTGCGCCACCCCACCACCCGGGGCTACTTTAAATCTTTATCACGCAATCCCCAAGGTCTACCGGAGACCTGACACTCATTAAGCCAGCCACGACGGAAGGGAAGGAGGAAAGTTACGGCCTTGAACTTTTCCCTCTAAACTCTTCTTGAACATTTACAAAATCATGCATCACTCATTTAACAAATACTTCGCAATCCCCTCCTCCAAGTAGAAGTAGGAAAACGGAGACTTAAATGAGCGCATCGTCCCCAGGTAGTACACAGGAAAATATGTATAACACAAGTGGAACATGCCAAATTCCCTTAAAAGGTATGGGTAAAGTGTTGTTGGGGGTGTGGGGAGAGACGGGTCAGAAAAGTTTTGGGAGGTGACGAGGAAGTTATGTCCCATTCAGGAAAAAGGAGACTCCGAGTAGGCATGTTATCTAAGGGACAACTGAGTCCCGCGGGACAAATCACCTCTCCGATGGGCACCTAACCCGAGATCAGATTGTCACCGCACGCGTCCGAGATAACTCCGGCTGCAGAAGCCGCGAGGGCTCGGAACTGACCGCGCGCAAGCGCGAGCGCCAGGGGCCGGAGCAGCGAAAGACCTCTCCGAGCTTTGAACGAACAATTGTTGTTCTTTAAACTGCGTCGCCATGGATACGGGAGAATCCATTCCAAGTTCACTACGGGAGAACATGAGAGCTCGAACCCCATCGAAGAACATTCTAAAAGACTCATGAATGTCTTTAGGGTACAAAAGATTCAAACAATAAGATTTTATCGAAATAACTCTTCCGCTTCCCGCTCCTCTAGATATCGGCGAGGAGATGTTGTGTGGTGTGCTCCGTGACGTATGCTTCCCAGGCATGCTGGGAGTTGTAGTCAATCCGTCCAAGCCGGCCCCTTTGTCGGCGGTGACGTCACTTCCGCCTTCCCCTCTTCCCCCACCTCCTCCCGCAAGCTGTACGCAAAAGTCTACGCCAGCTTCGCGGATATGGTATAGTTATATTTCAAAGGCCACTGGGTCCCTTCGACTTTTGGCAAGCGGCACGAGGCACAGCTCAACCCCTGAAAGAAGCCGGTCCTGTCTGGGCCACCATGACAGCTGCGAAGTCTGTGGTCAGGGCTGTCCTCCCTTAGTCCTCTCCGCTCACAAGAAAACTGACCCCCACAGAAACGCATCCCAGCCTCAGACGCGCTCCCTGCTCCTCCTCCTTGTATTTTAAAAACGAAGCACTGGCGTTATTTGAAGGGTCTGGAGAAGGAGGACTTGACTGGGAAAGATGCGTGTCACTTTTGTTCAAGTATTCTCTCTTTAGTTTCAATGATGCCCGACTCTGCCTGTCGCCATACCAGCCAGGTCCTCCTATTCCCATCCTAGAAGCCGGTGTTCTTCAGGGATGCTTTACACCCTGTACTTTCCACCGGTTTTCTATCTTCCGCGAGGACCTTCTGAGTCCCAGATTCACAAATGTGCTAACTGTACCTCCTCTTGATAGCTGACCTGTACTTCAAATTCTGCAGGTTCAGAACTGACTCTCCATTTCCATCTCCACTCACCCTGCACCTGCTCTTCCTCCAAGAATGCCCATCTCTGCAGAGGCAGCACGACCCACCCGTGTTGTGCCTGCAAAACCTGGAAATCACCCAGACACCTTCCTCTTGTCAACTCCTGAACACTTGCTCAATCATCAAGTCCTTTGGATTCCACTTCTAAATGTCTCTGTTGTCACTTTTTGTTCTTGCCACCAATAAATCTAACGCATTTGGGGTAATTCTCCTTAGTTGGTCATGTCAGCAGGCCTTCACCAGGCCGGGCCCCTGCCTGGGGACATGAGTTTTTTATCCCGTCCCAATCGCTTGTTCCTTCTGGCTGCGGGAATGACAAGGGAAACAAAGTCACCGAGACCATTTTTACAGGAGCGTAAGCTAGCAGACTCGGGGGAGATAATTTCTCAAAGCCCTGAACCCAGATCTGTGTCAGGGGCTTGGTTAAATACAGAGTTTGCCCCTTATCTCCACCTTACATCCCTCCCCCTTTTAGTAGGTGGTTACAGTTGCCAGAAACTTTGCAAGGCTAGCAGGTGGCTACAGTGTTGTAGAGCTAGCAGAAAGCTGCTTGTAGACTCACAGTGGGGAAACCAAGGTGAATATCAGACACAGTAAATCCCAGGAAAATAGCCAAGCTGGCCCCAACACTTCCTTTAAATGCTGACTCCTACCACTACCTACTTACCCTTCAGATCTCATCTTAAAAATTGATTCTTCAGAAGTCCATGATGAGTCTAGTGCTTTCACATATGATTTCTAATGGAATCTTCACAACACTGGGAAGTTGCATCTTTTTTTCAATTTTACACAAGAAAATAGACTCAAGTGATTAAATTATACAAAATCATACAGTAAGTAGCTGAGTTAAATTTTCCTCTTGCTTGTCTTTTTAACTTCTGTCTTCCATTTCATTAAATATTTTTATTCAAATGGGAACATACAATTTTGTATGATAGTGCTACTCTATTTAAGTGACTTTCAACAGATTGCAATTTGTAGAATAAATAAAAGCAGGAACTCTTAAAGAAATCTGAAACAGGAATTGCAAAATGAGAAAAAAACTGTAATGTCTACTTTTTTCATAAGGTTTCAGAGGATCAAAATTATATAAGTTAATGTCCAGTTATTTAGTACAATGAGTGTAGTAATTACTCATTTATTGCAGAGTGGTATAGTGTGATTCTTTAAGCCTGTTTGGGATG